TTCTTGTTTTGTGAATTCTCTGTTTAGCTCTTTAGCCCATTTTTTAATTGGATTGTTCAGTATTTTGATGTCTAGTTTCTTGAGTTCTTTATATACTGTGGAGATCAATCCTCTGTCAGATGTGGGGTTGGTGAAGATCTTTTCCCATTCTGTTGAGAGTCTTAACAGTAGAGAATCTGCTCCTGGATTTGCACTGCCAGTCCAGTGAGGTTTCAGTCACTGTCACTCAAGGCGTCTTACAAAGGCCTGTTGGATACGTAAAAATCCCCCAGTAGTGAGTGACTCCACCCATGCTTTCAGTCAGGTCAGGCCGAATTAATAAATCCAGGTTTAACCTGAGCAAAACATTCCCGGGTGGTCCCCGGAACGGGGAGAAGCCACGAGGAGAACTGTAAAGGGGAGGTCTGTGGGCCAGACCTTAAATACCCTCCAGGGCTGGAGTCACTGCTTGGCGGTTTCTCTTTGGGCAGGGTCTGGAGAGGGCAGCTCCAGGGGAGATCCCCAACATCCCTACCTTCTCAGGTATTTATGGACGCTGGTTCAAGTCTGGCTGCTTCCTGTTGGCAAGGGTCGATATGGGGGGTGGGGGAAGCCGGGAGTCAGTGGGCTCACACTCAGTGGGAGATGTGGGTGAAGAAGCATTTGGTTGGCTGCCATCCTGGAGACCCCAGGAACCTGTTTCCTGAGGAGGCAGGTTGCTAGGAGATAAACAGATTATTAACACTGGCCCTATGAATGGGACTAGCTGTGGGGAAAGAATGGAATGGAGATGTGCCCTGGTTGTACAGAGCAGGCAAGGGCAAATGAGCCAGACCAAAGAGCAGATATGCCCTCCAGTCTGGAGAGGTTTGCCTGGTTGGTGCAGGAGGTATCTGGAGGACCCCCTGCGGGTTGGCCTTGGCACAAGGAGAGGGGTAGACCTGTGAGGGAGCCTGCAGGTGTCTGTAAAACAACGGGAACAGATTTACATCTTGGTGTCACAGCAAAAGGCTATGGCTTTGGGTTAAAAGGTGTGAACATTTTTCCGAGGGCCTGGTTTCAGCCCGATGAAACACACCTTTAAGTCTGTACTCAGAGGGCAACCAGAGGAAATTTACTGAATGGAAGAGGTTGAGTGAGTGAAGGAGGAGGAAGAGAGGCTGAGGAGTGGGGGAGGAACGGAGTTGAAGACACCTGCATGTTTCCATACCCTCTCTAAAGCTAACCTGTCTCTAAAAGCTGGGGCCGGTAAAATCCACAGAAATTTAAGAACTTCTGGAAACTGTTTGTAGTCGGTACTCTATCAATTTATAAGTACCCTAGTCATCAAACACCATCAGCTACCCAGGCAGTCCCCGGTTTCTCCATGGTCATTAGGGACAGAAGTCCCAAAGGCAGTACCAGTCTTCAGCTGCCAAGTCCAGAAGATCTGACAGACTTGCCTGTGGGGTAGGAATTTGGGGAGTGTGACCTACCTTGTCTGGGCAAAGTGGGGCAATCGAACCCCCAATGTCCCATTGTCCAGTCTGGGCAGGGTCTTGGCAGCGGTTTAAAGTGCAAAGCAGTTTTTTTTTCTTCTGTCTTGCTTCGTGGCTGGCTTTGCCACACTTAAAGCAAGCTTCCAGGTGGAAGTTCTTCTGTGGCCTTGGGGGAGGTATAGGATGCTGCTGCCAGGAGCTGGTGCATCTCAGTCATGAGAAGCTTTTTATTAAAATGTCATATTCTCAGGTCTCTGAAGTACTTGAGGATCAGGCTATAATTATCTGTTAGGTATAGCTGAGTTAGATAAATGTTGTTTAGGCTTAAATTTGAGAGCATATACAAGTTAAATATGGACATACAGTTTGCCCAATCAGTCACAGCTTACCAATGTTAGTAAAAGCAAGAAGATTAGAAGGGATATTTCAGTCTCTGGTTTTCAGCTGTGGTCCTAAGATACAATAAGGCAAAACCAAGTTTTAACATTTGCAAACAATTCAGTGTTTGTTTATTTTTAACCAATATTAAGGGGATTACTCTTAGATTACAGAGTCTCGATGCCAGCAAAATACATCCCTGTACATGAATGCATGGAGGCACAGCTTTAATACATCAGCAAACCAGCATTGTTTTAAATCCTATCTTTTATAAACCTTGCTTTTAGGACAGGACAGGAATTATCACACAGAAACCTATCCCAATCCAAAACACCTTGGAGACCTAATATCTCCTGATGGACCCATTTCCACCTGGTCACCTCTATCTAAGATGGTGGTAAAGCCATATGACCTCCCTCTTCCCTGTCCCTAGTCCAAATGATGACTGCCCACGTGGTTGTTCTTAATGATGACTGGCCATGCGGTTGTTCTTAATGGTTTTACCAGTTTTAAGCTAACTTTTGTTACAGATTTTTAACCATACCCATTTTCCTCCCTGTTTTTCTTTATAATAAGGTAGAACAGCATAAAATAACTTTTTTCAGTCATTACAAAAATCTGAGCTCAAGCAGCTATCTTGTGAGCATATCTGAGCTGTTACCAAGACACATGGAACATGTAGTCTCAAGCACTCGAAGCCAGTCAAATACAAGCATACCATGGCCACATTTCCATCCATACACACAAAGTAGGCAGGACTTTCTAACAGAAAGACGAAAAATTTTCATGGGGCGGTGCGGGTGTGTGGGGGGTGGGGGTAGGGGTAGGGGTGGGAGTGGGGGGCGGGGTTTAGACGCTTCCGGGCAGAGGGAGGGGTCCTGCTTGTAGACACCCTAAGCCTGCGGGACTGACAAGGCTTTGGTATCAGCAGCAGGAGGGAGGGAGGGAGGGAAGGAGGGTACGGAGACAGAAGCAGCAGGTGGGAGAAAGTGGGAAAGCTGCTGAGCGAGAGCATGAGATGCCAGCAGGCAGAAGCAGGGGAGGGGACGGGAATGCAATGCTCGCAAACCTGGATGAGGGAGCTCATTTGGACAAATTTCGAAGCGATTGGCGATAGGACTTAGACCCGGAAGCATCCATTCACAAGCCTTAGCTGGAGACCGGAGACCATGGCGGTTCTGGGGCCAAAACGGTGGGGGTGGGGTGGGGGTGGGGAATCCCTGTGCAGGACATCTCCCGAACAAAGGAACTCCAAGGGGCAGGGATTTTTCCTACCCCTCAATGGGCCTGAGTCGCCTTCAGTGTTGGGCAGGCAAACCGGAAGGAAGTCTGTCACCCTGAAGGGGTGAAGATTCCGGAAGGGCTTACAGGCATTTTGGTTTAGAAGTCGGTGGCTTACCGAGTAAAGTTGTGGGGGACCGTGGGAGACCAGCTCCGACCTGCTGCCACCTTACGAAGGGTTCTTGGGTGGAGGAAAGAGAAATGAGGGAACCTCAGGTAGAAAGATAGAAAGAGACCATAGGATAGCTTCGGGAGAGCCCTGGGTCAATACCCAGTCGCCCAGAGGTTTATTCAGAAGACCTTTTATAATATACCAAGGGGCGAGGCAAAAGACCGCCCCCTTGCAAGATCAAAGCACACCGTACAGCCGAGTGTAGACCCTTCCAAACACTTGGTAACCACGACGGTGGCCAAATCATCTCCTTACGCAACCCTGCTGGGTAAAGCAAGCTCAGATTCTCTGACCCTGAGTAAGGTCTCGCTAGATAGCCTCTGTGGGTCACCACATGAAGTCGGTACACCATCCCTACCTACACTTTGGAAGTATATTGACTGATTGATTGATTGATTGATTGATTGATTGATTGACTGATTGATTGATTTTGCATGTGTACATGTGTGGAGGTCAGAGGACAACCTGTGGGATTCAGCTCTCCCCTGTCATGTAGTCCCTGGGATTCGAACTCTGGTCCTCAGGCTTGCTGGAAAGTGTCTTTATCTTCTGAGTCATCGCTTCCCCCCCCCCTTTTGACTTACAATAAATGGACGCCAGGTAAAGAGTGACCCCAGCATCATGCTAAAGATCATGGAGCAGTTTAGGTTATGGTATGCCACAGCTACTCAGTCAGCTCCCAAGTTACTAAATGGCACTCCACGGACACTATAGCACACACGGGTTTTTTTTGCTCTCAGGGTTGGTTATTTTCTGGGGTGTAAGTTCCTGGAATTAGAATTGCTGGGTGCAGGAGTTTGTGTGGTCATGGATGTAAAAGCCAGGAAGCCACTGATAGCTGAATTTAGATATTTTTATGCAATATATACAAGTTTTTTTTTTTTAAATAATTTATCTTGTTTTTCAGGTTGGAGAGATGGATCAGTCAATAAAGGGTAGGCTCACAACTGAAATGTCGCAATACTTGTTTTGTTCTTTTGTGTGTGTGTGTGTGTGTGTGTGTGTGTGTGTGTGTGTGTCCGTGCACGTGAGTAAAGGTGTCTAAAGAGGTGAGAAAAGGGCGCTGGAGTATCAGGCAGTTAGTTGTTAGCCACCCAACATGGATACTGGGATCCCAACTCAATTCCTCTGAAAGAGCAGTTCAAGCTCTCAGTGGATGAGTCGTGGCTCCAGTCCCTATACAGAGACTATTTAAGATTTTATTATGGGTATATATTTTATGTTGAGCATATTAGCTTGCGTCTGCAGGATTTTGTTGTTGTTGTTGTTTCAAGACAGGGTTTCTCTGTAGTTTTGGTGCCTGTCCTGGATCTCACTCTATAGACCAGGCTGGCCTTGAACTCACAGAGATCCACATGGCTCTGCCTCCTGAGTGCTGCTGGGATTAAAGGCGAGCGCCTCCACCGCTGGCGCATCTACAGGATTTTTAAAAGGTGTGTTTCATTTTCTTTGGACCGGACCAGGAGACAAAAACACACCCCAGTTTTTGCAGACATCTGTGAATTCGGGTGCTAAAAATCATATCAGTGTGTTCTTGCTCTATGTAATCTGGTATGATTAGGCTCTGTGGTGACTAGGGGGCCACATGCCATGCTGAGAAGTTTGGGTTAGTCTGAGTGCATTAACTTGTCATGGACGGTTAGCTGGACTGATTTAGCGTTTATGGCTAGAACAGTTAACCCTGTTACTGTCATGAGGAAGGACAGGATGGGAGATACTGAGCTCTGCGGGTATCTACCTTCTTTCCTCCGCCATCTTCTCCCCTCATCCTCCCACTTCATGATAGACAGGGAGTTCCCGTGCCCTGACGCAAGGAATCGCTTGATTTTCACTTCCAAATCTGACGAAGATTTAACGCCTACATGGGTGGTGGGCACTCTCTAGGCATGCTCTTCGCTGGAATTCATTAGAATTAACAAGCTTGACGACAGTGGCGGAATCAGAAACCATCAGCTTCAATGTGGCTCTATTCTCTCAGAGATGGAGAAGAAAAGGAGAGAATCTCCAGCCAAAGAGGTTTGCAGTACTGTCACAGCTTCCACGGCACACTGACAGTCAGGCAGCCCAGGAGGAATACAGCTGAGCTTGGGTCCAGCTAGTGACTCTGATGCCCGAGTGGCAAGCTGTAGATCGTGTGCCCAAGGTTCATGTTGCTCCACAGCCTGCAGAAGGATCAGGCAGGAGGCTGGGATGGATTCTAGTATACACTGTGGGTATAAGGTGTTATTCGGGGTGCAATATTAATTTTGTCCCTCCCCAGATCAGTCTACCCAGAACCTGAAAATAGGAACCTATTTTCAAAAAGAAAAGAAAGAGCCATGGATTGATGGTCCATCTCAAATGCTATTTGTGGTAGTACACTCCTTTAATCCCTGCCCTTGGGAGGCAAAGGCGGGCGGATCTCTGTGAGTTTGAGACTTAGCCTGGTCTACAGAGTGAGTCCTGGGACAACCAAGGGCTACATAGTGAGACTCTGTCTCAAAACTCAAAACAACCCCCACCCCAAGTAAATGCAACTAGTGTCCGTATGGGAGACTAGCTGGGGAGAGTATGAGCAGGCTATGTCCAGCCTGCCAATTACTTCCCTCTGAGACTATCAGTGGCCCCATTGGATAGCGGGGATCCATCCTTGTTCTGTGGTAAGGGACACAGGATGGGCTCAGGCAAGGTCATGTCCTCAGATCCAGAATACAGAGCCAGTCAGTGGGAAGGCAAAGGGGCTCACATGACTGTGGAGAGCACTGCAAGCCGGAGACCCAGGAAAGCTGGTGTTAGAGGCCAGTCCAGTGCAAAGGCCTGAGCCCAGTTGAGGTGACGGTATCAGCCCCAATCTGTTCAGCATGGGTGGAGCTAAGAGGTGAAACGATCCAGTTCAGACAGCAAGACACCCTCCGTGTGTGTGTGTGTGTGTGTGTGTGTGTGTGTGTGTGTGTGTGAGAGAGAGAGAGGGGGGGGGCGGGTGGCTATTCTCCCTCCTCAGCCATTGTCCTCAGGCCCTCTGTGGATTGGTTGATGCCCATGCATATTGGAAGGGGCAGCCTTCTTTTCTGACCTTACCAATTTGAATGCTAAAGTCGCCCGGAAAACCTCTCACAAATCCACCCCCCAAAATACATTTAATCTGGGCAAAGCACAGACCAGGCAAATTAACACATGAACTTAACCACCATGGCTTCCAGCCCTGCGCCATTGTCTTCCTTGGCTGAGCCCTAGCCTGTGGCCCAGGCTTTCCCGGGAACATTACTGCTCTCCCCGGATCCAGGCCTTGCCACCTTATGAGACCTACAATACCACCTGCTTTCTTGACATCTTGAGCCCTGCAGGGCCCCAAGGAATCAACCGCAACTTCCCCTGCTTTCACCAGATGTGTCCCCAAGATGTGATACCTCTTCTCATGGGCCAGCCACCTTGCACTCAGCCTTCAATGGGTCCATCATACGGTAACTCTATGCTCAACTTTCCAAGGAGCTGGCAGACGTGTTCCAAAGCGGCCACACCACATCACATCCCTGCTGGTGGCTGGCTGACCCAAAGTCATCTCCACATCTCCGAGTGTGATCTCGTTGTTCTACTAAAGACTCCTTAGCTGTGGTCCAGGTCTTCCAGGGCGCTGAGCCCTAAGCTTGTGATATAGATGATGGGCTCTTACCCAGGAGACCCAAGACCTATATCTCGAGTTTCAACTGGAGGGCAAGCTGCATCCACACCCCACCTTCTCAGAGACCCCTGCTTCCCATTTCTCTACTCCAGCTAGTGGGAGACTTAATAAGCCTCGTTCCTCATTAGATGGACTAACAATTCCTTCCTACCCCCCCCCACCCCTCCTTTCTTTCATTTCTTTCTCTCCTTTCAGATAGAATCCAAGATGACGCGATCAAAAAAGAACGACCCTACAAGATCTTTTTCAAAGATCTCTTCCTATTCAAAGAAAATGAAATGGCTGCAAAGAAAAAGGTAAGGTTTTTATTAAGATCGAAGTCCCTAAAAGGTTAGAATCATGCGCTTTTTTTCTTTCTCTCTCTCTCTCTTTGTTTTTTTTTTTGGGGGGGGAGCTGAAGATCAAACCCAAGGCCTTGCACTTGCTAGGCAAGCGCTCTACCACTGAGCTAAATCCCCAACCCAAAATCATGACCTTTTTGCCATAGTTCTTACCAGTTTTTATGGGTTAAGATATGGTGTCAGGGCCACGCTGGGTGGTGCCTATCTTTACTCCCAGCATTCTGGAGGCAGAGGCAGGAGGATCTCTGTGAGTTTGAGGCCAGCCTGGTCTACAGAGTGAGTTCCAGGACAGCCAGGGCTGTTGCACAGGGAAATCCTGTCTTGAAAAAACAAACAAACAAAAGGACATGATGGATACTGACACCTGGCCTGTGGTCATCGGCAAGATTGTGCACACAGAGGACAGGGACCTTCAGAGATCGCCACCTAGTGGGGGAAGGCAGCTACGCCATTACCCATTCCAGCGTAACAGGCATGGTCCACCCTACTTAACCCGTCAGACACCCACAGTTTTCATAGTGCTACATTTCTGAAATCGGGGCTGCCTTGCAAGGATGACGTCCTGCATCATTGGCCAAGCACGAAATAAAAGTGGGAACAGGTAACACCTGAGAACTGACAGACAGGTCATAGAATCAGAGACGTGTAAAGGAAACAGAGCGGTCAGCCCTGTTGTCGGGAAAAGAAACGGTGAAAGCCGGGAGAGATGGAGAATTCACCGTGGTGATGGGAGTTGAGTCCTTAAGAATAATCCCAAAGCTGTGATGGATAAACAAGTCTATATGTGCTCTGGGGAGAGAGGAGAAGAGAGAAGGAGTGGAGAGGCCAGGAGGATTATTTTTAGAGTAATCTGGAATAAAGTTAAATCAGTAGTGAGCCTGAGATTCAACTTTTCTTCCCAAAGGTGACTGATGAAAGGACTCTTTTAGCCCTAGGTATAATGAATGAAATATCTAGAAACATTGCTGTATAGAAAAACCTGGGGTGGCTTTTCTCCAGGCGATGTGTACTTTTGTTGAGTATAATTTAATATTAAACAGAGAGAAGCTAAAAGGAATCCAGAGGATGGGTTTTCACTGCCTTCTGTGGAGGTTCACCCCCTCTTAAGTTTTCAGTCCCAGCAAGCCAACCTTTGGGGTTTCCCTGTTTTCCCCGCATTTAATCTGGAAAGACATTTTCCTGTCTCTGAGATAGTTTATTAAAGGAACAACCTTTGAAGCATGCTCTTCCTTGTCTCCCTAACAACAAAAGAAAGGGATGCTGTGGACACCGCCTCCAGGGTGAGCTCCCCCCAAGCTGCCTAAGGCCAAAGGTCTTTGCCGAATACATATGATCGCTATTATGACAATATGGTACTTGGGTGTGTCAAAATTCCTTTTGTGCTTTTGCCCCTTGGGCAGGAAAGACTCATGAACCGCAGCATGAAAATCTACCAAAAGACTACGTTTTCATCTCGGATGAAGAGTCGCTCACACCTCGGCCAGCTGACTTTTTATGCTGAGGCAGGTGGCGGCTCCTACGAAAGTCTGGGTTTGGATCCCACTCTTATTTTGAGACTGACAGAAGGTAAGTCAACGTTACTCTTGGTGTTAAAATTTTATTTTTGATCTTTGCTATTCGTCATGGGTTTGGGAGATTTTCTGGCCATGAGAGAGACAGAATCTATGCTGCTGCTGCGTTATTTCAGGATAAGGCAGCCAGAGACCACAACACAGACACTCTTTTTGGGGGGAGGGAGCTTGAGACAGGGTTTCTCTGTGTAGCCCTGGCTGTCCTGAAACTCACTCTATAGACCAGGCTGGCCTCAAACTCAGAGATCCACCTGCCTCTGCTGGGACTAAAGGCATGCACCACCACTGGCCAGCCAACACAGACATTCTTAAAGCCAAAAAGAAAGTCTTTATTGCTGGCCAGCAGCTGCATGGGGGACTTGCCCAAATCGTGCAGCCCCAAGACTCACAGCTCTTGGTCTTGTACGTATAAAAAAAACCACAGCCTGGTTGGCACACTTCCGTTAGCAAGAAGCGGGAAGTACAGAAGCCGAAAAACAAGGTTAGCACATTTAGGGACTTCTTATCTGTAGACTTTTCTAGAACCGTGGACTAGGTCCTTGTTCTCATTTTGTCAGGGGTTGGGGCCTGCGTGCTGGGTTTTCAGGTCAGAATGGTGTAGCTAGAGTTTTCCTGCCTTGCCCACAGTCAGGACAAATCTTTGTCACCCGCCAGTCCCACAGCCGCTCAGACCCAACCAAGTAAACACAGAGACTTCTATTGCTTTCAAACTGTATGGCCATGGCAGGCTTCTTGCCAACTGTTCTTATAGCCCAAATCAATCCATTTCCATAAATCTACACCTAGCCACATGGCTCGTGGCTTACCGGCATCTCCACATGCTGTTTGTCCTGGTGGCAGCTGGCAGTCACTCCTTCTGCCTTTCTGTTCTTTTATTTCTCTTCTCTGTTAGTCCTGCCTATACTTCCTGCCTAGCCATGGGCCAATCAGTGTTTTATTTATTGACCAATCAGAGCAACACATTTGCCATACAGAACATCCCACAGCAGAATGGTGCCGCTAACATGGCATCACTGATGCAAAGTTCTGGGGCCTGTTACAATATGGCAGGGAAGAGCTTTGCAACAGGCTTGAGAGCCAGAAGAGAGCAGCTTAAATAAAATTACACTTCCCCCAAGATCATTACTTCTTCCCCTGCTTTTGAGAAACAAGGAAGTCACTGTCAAAATAACGGTGTTGGCACTGGAGAAGGTGGGTGCTAACAAAGCAGCGGCTCTCGCCATTTGAGGTGTGGAAACCCAGACACTTCCTAAGGATGGGGGAGCTTTGCTGGTTCACTACACATGACTCAGACATGCAGCAGCAGGAAAGCTGATATGGTGAGAGAAGCTTGTCTGTCATTGTGAAACCAGGCCTGGTGATCAGACACGTCCTAAGCATTTCCTGTACGCCACAGGTCAAGAAGAGACCGTCTGCAGGGGTTGGGGATTTAGCTCAGTGGCAGAGTGCAAGGCCCTGGGTTCGGTCCTCAGCTCTGGGAAAAGGAAGAAAAGAAAGAAAGAAAGAAAGAAAGAAAGAAAGAAAGGAAGGAAGGAAGGAAGGAAGGAAGGAAGGAAGGAAGGAAGGAAGGAAGGGAGAAAGGAAGAAAAAAGGAAGGAAGGAAGGAAGAGAAGAAGAAGAAGAAGGAGAAGGAGAAGGAGAAGGAGAAGGAGAAGGAGAAGGAGAAGAAGAAGAAGAAAGACGCGCCTGCAAATGAAGCGCTTTGCAGCTCATAAGATCAGGGTGGCCAGCAAGGAAAGGAATGTTGAGTTCCTCGACTCCCGTAGAGAAAGCAGGCCACGAGGCTGGAGAGATGGCTTAGCAGTCAGGAATACTTGTGGCTATTGCAGAGGCTGGGGTTCCGTTCCCAGCATCCTCATCGTGGCTCACCACCAGCTGTAACTCCAGTCTGAATGGATGTAATGCCCTCTTCTGACCCCTTCTGGCACCCAGCAAGCATGTCGTGCATTTACATGAATGCAGGCAAAAATATTCATACACATGAAAATAAATAAACATATCTTAGGGAAAAAGAGGGGCTGTCTTAGCTCAGCAGAAGAGCCTTGCTGCTCTTCCAGAGGACCCAGAGTCTGTTCCTAGCACCCGGGTGGAGGCTCTCAACTGCCTGTAACTCCAGTTCCAGGGCATCAGGCACCCTCTTCTGGCTGCTTCGGGAGCCAGGCAAGTATGTGGTGCGCAGACCTACCTGCAGGGGGAAAAGCATTTTACATATAAAATAAAAATAAATAAATCTTAAAAAAAAAAAAACTTTGGTTTATTTATTTTATTTTGTGTGTATAAGTGTTTTGCCTGTATGTATGTAAGAGGGTGTCAGATCCATCGGGACTAGGGTTAACAACCAATTGTGAGGGTGTTGGGAATTGTGCCTGGATCCCCTGCCAAAGCAACAAGTGCTCTTAGTCCCTGAGCCAAGTTTCCAGGCCCCAAATCCATCTTTAAAAAAGAAGCAGCAAGCCACATTAATTGATTTAGACCGTCTTGTTGATGTGTGTGTGACTGGACAACAGGAAATGAATGGCAGGCAATAGTTAGGGTACAGCTATAGCATCAGGTCTAAGAGACACCTGGGTTCCATCTTGCGCCTCTGTGCTGCATCTTGGGCCATCAAGAATATCTACAGTGGCAAGTGACATGTCTACAGTTCTGTGCAAATGAGCTGACTGCAACAATCCTTACGTCTTAGTCAGGGTTTCTATTGCTATGAAGAGACACCATGACCACGGCAACTCTTATAGAGAGCACATTTAATTGGGGTGGTTCGCTTGTGGTTTCAGAGGTTCATTCCATTATCATCATGATGGGGAGCATGGCAGCGTGCCGTGGTGCTGGAGTCGTGGCTGAGAGTCCTACATCTTACAGTCAACAGGAAGTTGACTGAGACACGGGACGGTATCCTGAGCATAGGAAACTGCAGAGCCCACCCCCACAGTGACACACTTCCTTCAGCAAGGCCACACCCACTCCAACAAAGCCACACCTCCTAATAGTGCCACTCCCTATGAGATTATGGGGGCCTGTTACATTCAAACACCACACCTTGCCGCCCCAACAGTCCTCAGATAACTAGAAACCACAGCTTTACAGGTTATCAGTCCTGCTTTGTGTCGTTGCTGTGGAATGGGATGGTTCTGGCCTGTTAAGGGTGAATGCCATCGTGAAGGAGACCCCACACACACACACACCAGGGGCTCCTTTCAGGACCCTGGGTTAGGCACAAACCACACCCAAACATCTGTTTTCACAGAGAGATCCTTTATTAAGCAGAAAAGTTAAAGTGGCTGCTTTCTGAATCAGGCAGACAGCAGCAGCAAATGATCTTGCGGGTGTAATTTTTTTAATTCATCTATTTATTTTATACATCCTGGCTGAAGTCTCTCCCCTGGTTCCCTCCCAGTCCTTCCCCCCGCCCCATTTCCTCTCCTGCTCCCACCCCCCAATCCTCTCCTCTTCCATCTGCATCCAGGAAAGGGCAGGTCTCCCATGAGTATCAATAAAGCATGGCATATAAAGTTATTTTTAAGAGGAGGAAAAGGGGAGGTCTGTGTTGGAATGGGCTACGATGCGGTGGTAGAGGAGATAGAGGATGAGGGAGAAGGGGACACAGGGATATTTGTCCCGGAAGGACAGAGACTGCTTCTGAATAGACAGGAGACAGACATGGCCCATAGGAAAATGGTGGTTTATAAAGGTAAAGCAGGGGGCTGGAGAGATGGCTCAGAGGTTAAGAGCACTGACTGCTCTTCCAGAGGTCCTGAGTTCAATTCCCAGCAACCACATGGTGGCTCACAACC